TTTTTGTATGCCATTTATAGATTTGTTTGTGCAATTGTTACAGAATCTGAATAGCTGTTCTTTGCATCTTTAACAGCCTCTTCATTGTTCTGTCAGTATGTTCTGTTAGTATTTTATTTTCTGTTCTGAATAATGGTATATTTTGTTTGTGATTCATGAAGTGAATATTTTGTATAATATTGGAAGACAAGTGATTGGTCTGTATTGTTTTAGATCTATTATCTATATTAAATGCTTATTTCAGGTAGCCAACTATTTAAATTTAACACAGGAATGTTTTTGTCTTCTATTAGTTTAGCTTCTTAATGAATATAAGTCACTGTTTAAATCAAATATATTCGTTAGGAAACTGAAGCCATCCTGATACAGGACAAAAATATTCCTTTGTGATAAATTTTGAGTTGTCTCCTGAAATAAGCATTTAATATAGATAATAACATACATGTGAAAGAAAAGACTGTACTCAAAGATGTAGCCTTAAAAGATAAGATGGATGAAGGAAGGAAGGAGAGTGATTTGAGGAGAAGTTAGGAGGGTGGGATGGTTGGAGATTTGAAAGTGGAAAAAAGGAGGACATGAGCAGCAAAGGGTGACTGTTGGATAACACTAGGAAATACAATGGTATAAACGTGCAAAACAATTTGTACTTACAGGGAAGGAGGAGGCTCATAGTGTAATACCTTGAGGAATTGGACAGATGAGGCTGCCTTGGAAAAAAATAAAAATAAATAAAGGGGGGGGACTAAAAGGAAGCAGTAAGGAGTCCCTTATAGGGGAGGTATCATTGTTGACTCAGAAGATGAGCTGTCCATAGATGCCACTTGGTCTGGTAGTGGTATAGTCGTAAGTTTAAGGTATTCCACGAAGATCTTGAATTCTTGATAGATTATCTGGTCCTCAATGAAGGAATATAGTTTGCAGGGCAAGGATACCCACGTTTCATAATTGCATGGAGCCAGAAACACGAGGTGATATTTGTTTTAAATCTATTGTTTTTGGGTTTCATGTATGTGTTGCTCTAAGAAATTTGGCATGTTTTTTTTGTGTAAAATGTTTAGCTAGTTTTTGTACAAGAATGTAAAATTTTTTTATCAGAAATTGTCTTCCAATCTTCCAACTATGTTTTTTGTATTTCATTTAATGGTTTTGTTGTCACTTTTATGAAGTGTATTATTTGTTGGGGCAGTGTACAGCAGTATGCAATTCTATATAGCATTACTAAAAGATTATTAATTACATCATTTAAACCAGTGTTTCTCAAGCTCTAACGAATTGTCACCCCCTTCAATAAAACCGTTACCTATTATCGCCCCCTTCACTTCAAAATTCCGATGCCGAGGACCAAGACTAACGCCAAATTCGTACTGCATTAAATAGACTTGTGACTAGTATAATGTTGTTTAATTATTGTATGATATAACGAATAAAATATGTAATTATTCTTAATATAATGTTTTACTATAACGCGCAGAAAATTGTTTTTTGCCCCCCCAAAATATAAATTGTTACTAATTGCCCCCTCAACATGGGAAAAACGCCCACATGGGGGTGATATCGCCCTTGTTGAGAAACACTGATTTAAACTAAAATAATTACATTATCCTAAATTCTTATAAAAATATCTTAAATTGTAAAAATACAGGATAAACTCAAATTTAAAAAATTTTTTCCAACAATGTTAAAATACTTATTAAAATTAAGAAACTAATTCACCTAATGAAATGATGAATATTTAATTATTTTGCTTACCCAAATCTAGGACTACTATTTGTTGATTAAAGATGAATTATACAGAAATATTGCATGATCTACATAGTTATAATCTGTAAAAATTTATTTGTACTATGATGATCAAAAATTGCTTAAACTGAAAATCACTTAACTTAAATTTGTATTTATATAAAATGTAAGTGATTTTCAGTTTAAGCAATTTTTAAAATATCTGTAATCACCACATGAAATTGTTGCTTGTTGCNATCAAAAATTGCTTAAACTGAAAATCACTTAACTTAAATTTGTATTTATATAAAATGTAAGTGATTTTCAGTTTAAGCAATTTTTAAAATATCTGTAATCACCACATGAAATTGTTGCTTGTTGCAACATAACTTAAATTTGTATTTATATAAAATGTATGTTGCAACAAGCAACAATTTCATGTAGTGATTACAGATATTTTAAAAATATTAATCAACTATGATTATATTTAGGATTTTTGATGTTCTTTATGAATCATAAATTTTACATTAACATAATACTGTCCTGCTTTAGCCAATAATTTTGTTTTTTATCATTGAATTTGAAATTTTATTTAAAAAACAAAGTTTAAATCTTAAGGTTTGTAGTCTTATTATTTTAACTTTTATAATTATTAAACAGAATTAAAAACAATCCACAAATGAGCATAGGATGAGAACTGATAAACTGTGCCTATATTCTGAAAAAAATTATAATTATTGTATTAAATACTGTAACTTTAGACTAACAAAATAATGCATTGGTATAAAAATATTAGTAGTGTTTGTTGCATTATATAGTTTTGTTTATTATGTACCTGTATGTCATATGTAATAAATCAAATTAAAATCTACTTTTTCATTTTACTTTATCTTAAAAATATTAAAGACACATAGCCGAGAACTTCTAAATTTTCCTAGGACACTCTTTATGTTAGTAAGAGTGTGATTGTGAGTTGACTATGCACACATGTTAAAATGATAATTTGAGTGATTTTAATATCAGTATTTATGAATAATACTAATGTTAATTATTCAAACATTTTCATAAATTATATAAGAAATTTTATATGCATATACTGTATATTTAAATCATTAAATTGTCAATTTAAAAGTTTTTACTGATGATGATGACAATTAGCAATAAAAATTTTCAAAATACTTGAGCAATGGCTATTTTATGATTTTTGTTCAGTCATTCAAATTAAGTCCATATAATATCTTGTAAATGCATTCTGCTATGACATCCATTTTAAATAATAGCACAACATATGTAAAAATAAAGAGGGCAAAATGAGAGTAAAATTTTTAAATATCTTGTTACTTAAATTTTAATACATTCTTAATAATAAATACTATTTTTTTTTTTTATGTAAAATATTTATTTTGATGACTTCATTAGAAATTATATTTAACTAAATGATACAGAAACTTTTGCTTAAATCTCTAAATCAGAAATGCATGTTTGATTTTGTTTTCCATTCCATGTTATTAGCACACTCTTTGGCTATTAGTTTGCAGTGTTACATTTTTGGTTTCTATATCTGTCTTCAGTGAAGGTTCTATTTAAATTGGCCTTGTTTTAGGATAGCTCACTGGTCAATGATTGTAAGGTGTTGGTTATTTCATAGTTTTGAATAATACAAATAAAACACACCTTTAATACTTCAGCAAATAAATACTGAGGAAGATTGTTAAACAGTCAAAAACGTTTTTATTTTACTAATATTTATTTGCTGGATTATTAAAGGTGTGTGTTATTCGTATTTAGTTATTCAGTACGTACATTGTATATAAGTTTTGAATAATAACACATGCAAAGTTTTGTTATTTTTAATGGAGTATACAAAGGTATCGGTGAGATGTACTGACTAACGTTTACAATACGAATTTTGAACAAACTGTTGAATAAGAATTGCCAGCTTTTGAAATCAAAAGTAAATGAAATTTATCATAGGGTAATGCTTCAAAGAAACATGAGATTCCACAATACTGTTACTATTATCCATGAAACACAATCCTCTTTTATCACTTTTGTCAGAAATATGTTTGTTTTTCAGTTGTATTTGTAAATTTTCAATTCTCTCACAAATGTTTTCCATGTAGGGACAAGATCCTTCCACCCAATGTCATAGTATATATGAAAGAAAATGCACAGCAGGATTGCCTTCCTTTTTACACAACTGCAAAAATACAAATAACAAAAAATATTTTAGTAACAAAAATCAGTGCAGACAAATTACAAACGCATGTAGAAATAGTCACCATTGCTGCTTTTGCTCAAGTTTTATGGATTTCATGAGTTAGATTTTCTGATGATTAGTCTCCCATATCCCAGAAATTGCAAAATATTTCCTCAGTGTGTTCTCCAGTAGATGACCAGCATTTTTGTGGGCACTTGCATAGCTTTTCAATAGTCCTTGCAGTATAAGTCTTTTTAGTGAATATTGAAGTGTAAGTGTTTCCAGCATTTATTCTCTTTTTGGCTTTCCCACTTTTCCAATTCTCTTCATTCTATTTTCTTTTCTTGGTTGAATTCTGCTTTTGGGGTGTTATTTCAGGACTTCATTCACAGAAAACTGATGAAATTTTTATGATCCATTTCACAAGGTGCTAAGCCACATGTCAATTTAGCATCATAGTTTATAAAGACATTTCTTTCATATTAAATGCAAAATTATGAGATTAGGTGTGAATAAAATTACAAAAGTTTGAACAATCAACTTCGGATACAAAAGAATTAAAAATTAGATATTGTTGGATAGCACCGAAGCAGGAAGAAATGTAGAGACAAAGAACATGCTAACCAACATAATAACTGGGTAATATTAAAACTGCTTGTTTGTCATAACTGCTGCTATCTGACTTGTCTTTGGCCCAATCAGGATAAGCCAAGCTATTGTCAGAACTGATACAATCCTCATCACTGTAAAGTTTGTCTGGAAAAAGACAAATTTGTGTTCCACTATGTCAACTCACATTAAATGTGAGTTGACAATATCAAATGTGTACTATCAATGGGAAAATTTTTGCAACGGGTTTTGCAAGTGTATAAAGAACATTGCACATATCAGCCCAAAAAAGTCTCAAAAAATTGCAATGCATGAACTTTATGTGCAAAAATATGAAATTTTGAAACAATGAGGGTTTTCCTTATTTTAGGGAGGCCTTCATATCTGTAATATAATTGAATTTATATATTTAATACTGTTGCTCTAATTTAAAACATTTTCATTTACTATATTAATTTGGATTAATTTTTAGGAAGGCACGTAGAAAAGATAAAGATGTTTCAGTTCCCTCTCAAGAAGAACCTAAATTATATTTGGAATCTGCAGTTTTGGAATGTACAGTTCCAGAAACAAGATTACGTGAAACAGTGGAATTACCTCCAAGATTAGACTATAATGAATGGCTTGCTTCTCATAGTATGTGAAATTATCAATTCAAATTTTAATTTTAAATATTATAAAATTAATATTTAAATTATAAAAAAATTATA